GTAAAAGCAGGAAAACTCATGGGTTGAGATAAAGACAGTTTAATAGGGAAAGCAAAAGCTGCACACACAAGCAAAGCAAATCAAGGAATTAATTCACTGCTTCCCATGAGCAGGAGCTGTTCAGGCAGCTCCAGAACAGCAGGGCCCCATCATGTGTAACAATTACTTGGGAAGACAAACAGGATCACTCCAAAGATCCCCCTCTTCCTTCCTCCTCCCCCACTTCATATAGTGAGCATGATGTCATATGATATGGAATATCCCTTGGGTCAGTTTGGGTCACCTGTCCCAGCTGTGTCTCCTCCCAATCTCCCATGCACCCCCAACTTCCTCACCAGTGTGGCAGTACAGAAAGCAAAGGCCTCGGTTCTGTGCAAGCAACTGCTCAGCAATAACAAAAACATCTCTATATCATCAACCCTGTGTTCAGCACAAATCCTAAACACAGCCCCATACTAGCCACTGTGAAGAAAGTTAACTCCACTTCAGCCCAAACCAGCACACAAGGATACCACAGTGTGGCACATACTCTACATACAGGAAACAGCAAACAAAAAAGAACCAAATAAAAACCCATGAAAGAAAGACAGTTCTTTGGAAAAGATATAAACACAGATTACTATACACATTCAGCTTTGACATTGCATCCAAAATTCACTGTTTTATTTAACATAAACACAGATTACTATACACGTTCAGCTTTGACACTGCATCCAAAATTCACTGTTTTATTTAAGCGTCCTGAGGAAATCTGCAGTCTGAGTCTCCATGACCCAAGAGTTAATTACCCCAGTTGAGGATTAGCTGAATGTGTGATAAACAAGCTGGTGACAATGTAGAGTCATACTTACTTATCATGGACCCCAAGTTAATAAACAATTCCAAGACTTGACAGGTTTAGGCAGGACTGGCCTAGCTGTCCAGACGCTGCATTCCCAAGAAAGCTTGCGATCACTCAGGACTGAGCCACCTTGGGCTCTCTCAGATTTCTGTGTTCAGCAGTGACCCTGACCAACATTATAGAGGAAGCAGATACAGCATCAAAACCAGGATGGGACGGGAGGTATCTCTGTATCATGCTTCAGACAACTGCAGGAGGATTTATGAGATGGGATAGGACCAGGGAAGTGATTTCTTCACCTGTACTCAGTGCTGGTGAAGCCACACCTTGAATACTGTGTACAGTTCTGGGCCCTTCAGTTCAGGAAGGATATTGAGGTGCTGGAGCAGGTCCAGAGAAGAGCAACAAGGCTGGTGAAGGGACTTGAGCACAAGTGCCATGAGGAGAGGCTGAGGGAGCTGGGGGTGTTCAGCCTGGAGAAGAGGAGGCTCAGAAGAGACCATATCACCCTCTACAACTCCCTGAAAGGAGGTTGTAGTCAGGTGGGGGTTAGTTGTTCCCAGGCAACCAGCAGTAGGACAAGAGGGCACAGACTCAAGCTCTGCCAGGGGAGATTTAGGTTAGATATTAGGAAGAAATTTTTTTATGGAGAGAGTAATTAGGCATTGGAATGGGCTGTCTGGGGAGGTGGTGGATTCACCATCCCTGGAGGTTTTCAAGATGAGACTGGATGTGGCACTTCATGCCATTGTCTAGTAACCAAGGTAGGGTTGGACTTTATGGTCTTGGAGATCTTTTCCAACCTGGTTGATTCTATTATTCTATGACACAGCACAGAAGAGTTAGGGAACCAGCTCAGCACCAGCAGTGGCCAATGCATCCTGCTAGCAGGCAGAGCCATGGGAAAGAGCACAAGGGCACTGAAGGAGCTTTACAGCATTCATCACTGTAGTCAGACAATTTACACTGTATCCTTGGAATAGCCCAAGTTATCCAGTGTCTTCCTAGATACCACTGTCACACAATGGGCTGAATTGTATTTGTGAATGTAGCAGAGGACACAGAAAATAAATGAAAGAGCACAAGGACACCAGACAGGTGTCAAGGAACTCTTGTGCTTTATTGTACAGTCACAGTAACACCAGCAACCAGCCCACTGGTTAGACTGAAAAGGTGGTGGCTAACAAACACTTAAATTTGTACAATACATTTCAATAAGTTCTCAACTCCCACAACTTATCAAAGGCACTGACTAACAAGCCACAGCACACAACCAAAGGTGTTGGCTCACAACACAGCAATATTCAAAGACGCTGGCTAAAAATCCACAACACACTTCTACAATCTCCCCACTCCCACAAAATTCAATATGGAGTACAGCGTAGAATATGATAACTGTGCTTTGCACAGGCAAAGCAAGAGAGGAAAGAAATAAAGACAGAAAAGGGAGAGAAAGAACAAAGAATATCACCAGTCCTTAGATCCTGTATCGGTCCTGTTGCGTGGATAGTCCAGAGCTGGGGTTGTGAGACAAAGAATGAGAAAGAGGAAAAAGAGATCAAGGGGAGGCAGGTCTGCTCCCTTTCATAGTTAGCCTGGTGCACACCTCTTTGTAAAATAGACTTTTCATGCCAGTCTGTTCACAGGTGCACAGCCAGCCCTTCGAGCCCTCCTCCAGGACGGCGGGGTAGGACTGAGCATAAGTCTCATGGTGGAGTGGGAATTTGGCTCTGAACAGCACCGCCTCACCTCTGCAGGAATCTCTTTTACCAATCACATCTTTCCTGTCATAACTGTCAGAATGTTTGAGACAACACAACATGCCCAGACTCCAGCTCAAACCAGCACACAAGCCACGCCACAGCACCAAAGGTGTTGGCTCACAACACAGCAATATTCAAAGACGCTGGCTAAAAATCCACAACACACTTCTACAATCTCCCCACTCCCACAAAATTCAATATGGAGTACAGCGTAGAATATGATAACTGTGCTTTGCACAGGCAAAGCAAGAGAGGAAAGAAATAAAGACAGAAAAGGGAGAGAAAGAACAAAGAATATCACCAGTCCTTAGATTGGCTCACAACACAGCAATATTCAAAGACGCTGGCTAAAAATCCACAACACACTTCTACAATCTCCCCACTCCCACAAAATTCAATATGGAGTACAGCGTAGAATATGATAACTGTGCTTTGCACAGGCAAAGCAAGAGAGGAAAGAAATAAAGACAGAAAAGGGAGAGAAAGAACAAAGAATATCACCAGTCCTTAGATCCTGTATCGGTCCTGTTGCGTGGATAGTCCAGAGCTGGGGTTGTGAGACAAAGAATGAGAAAGAGGAAAAAGAGATCAAGGGGAGGCAGGTCTGCTCCCTTTCATAGTTAGCCTGGTGCACACCTCTTTGTAAAATAGACTTTTCATGCCAGTCTGTTCACAGGTGCACAGCCAGCCCTTCGAGCCCTCCTCCAGGACGGCGGGGTAGGACTGAGCATAAGTCTCATGGTGGAGTGGGAATTTGGCTCTGAACAGCACCGCCTCACCTCTGCAGGAATCTCTTTTACCAATCACATCTTTCCTGTCATAACTGTCAGAATGTTTGAGACAACACAACATGCCCAGGCTTATGCCTGGGCTTCCACAACATGTTGGTACCCAATCAATTAATATACACCCAGCCTTTATGGTTAGAAATCAACAATGCTCTGTAAAACTAAACAAAACTCAAAGCACTCAAATTAGCATAGGTCATAAGCTGAAATACTTGCTCCAACCCTACACACTTCCTGAGAGATTTCACATCAGATGCATGACATGCTCCCAATTTAATTACAAGTTATTACTTGTAATAACTTGCTGTTGTGCATTGCTGTTGTTTCCCAAAAAAGAGCCATCAATGCTGAAATAAGTTATCTCTTCAAATTCTATCCCATGATGTCCTCCTCATGCACCTACCACTCAATTTATGTTTTCAACCAGCTCCCCTGCTACATGTATGCTTTCAGCAAATTAACTTTCTTGACTGCAAGCTTTACCCAGTTTGTTCAATGCAGGAAGACACTTGCTGGTTACATACATACATAGTTAACTTACTTAGGATCATGAGATGGTCCAGTCATACTGATGTTGTCATAAAGCAGTTTGCATTTACGTATTTGACAGTAATGGTTGATCTTCTCCATATACTCACGATCCATGTTGACACAGTAAGTTCTGCAAAGCAACATTCAAAGATGTGTCTGTGAGTCTAAGCATAGCAACATTCAAAGATGTGTCTGTGACTCTAGGCATAGAACAGAGACAGCCCCTAATCCTGGCAGATTTCTGCTGATATAAAATAGAAAGCTGGAACAAAGTGCATGAAAAAATAATTCGAATTTCTAATTCAAACTGCTGACTTGCAGCAGCTTTTGCAGAGTCATAGCTTGGAATGAGAGTTTTAGAAAGCAGAGTGAAGAATTTAGTGATTAGGATCCTTGACAGGAAAAGACAGAATCATTCACCGAATCTCGGAGGTGGCAGGGGGAAGTAATCGGTAGCATTTCTCCAGATTTAGAATCGTTCCCTCCGGATGGGAACTAAGCGGCACTTGAACATATCCCTTCAAACAATGGGATTAGGGTTAGGGTTAGGGTTAG